GGGCCACTCATCTCCTGTGCTATAGCATGATTTTATCGAGATAAAATCTCATCCTTATCAAAAATGCATAGATCAAACACACTTTCAGCCGTGAGATATTAGTGTCACTTTGGGTAAGCATGATTTTAGCACTGATTAGCCGCAAAATAATCCTGGCCGGACACTGTAATGTGCCCTTCTTCATTTCCTTGTGGAACGCATTAACATCTTATGTCCATACAATAGAAGAGTCAACTCCACATAGCTGTCGGTGGATATCAGGACAATTTGGACAATGAAAAAATCTCAGAAGAGCTTGTGGGAGTGCTCTATGAAAACCAAAATCCGATTGATCACTAGGAGGAGAAGGGAATTAACTTACCTCGTACACAACATCCAAGCTGGCCTCAGGTTGCTGGGTGGCATAAAACTCCTTTACTAGGTTCACGTTCACCACATCACTGGGACAGAACAGATGTTAGAACCCAAAGCCCGAATGTTGTTGTATATCTCATTATATTTTCGGGCCAACTTTCTATCATCGATAGCAACCTTAGGCTCCGGGTTCACCACATGGACGAACATCTAGAACCAATGTCTAGCACATGCTTGGACAACCCGACTATCAAATTTGCATTCTGGGACCTCATCAGCATCCGAGTCTATGCACTCCATCTTTTCCTCCACTGAGGCAGGGGGTGGTGCCCGCCTACCTCCTCTACGACTGCTAGAAGCAACCCTAGAATAACCGATATTAGCACATTTGCTGGGTCGGCGAGACATGAACAACATTAGCCACAACATATAGAATAACAAACAAGCCAAACAGGGAACCACCCCACACTCATGTGATAGGAATGCTCACAAGTACAATGTATATCAGGGACTCAGACTACCACATTAAAAATACGCCACCAGTGATCAACAACCCACTTAACCACCAATATAATATTACACCAATATAAATAATGATTACACTACACTATTGTAAAGTACAAAATTAAGAAGCTAAACAAGTATCTATGAAAAGAAAATTAAGAAGTTATAGTACAATACTACAAGCACTCTACATGAGTCGGACATCCCAATTACTACATTAGCAACTAATAATACTACATTAGAAACTAATAACACACTAGCAAGGGGTGGCCTATTGATTAGCACTCGGGGATAATATGTTATAATTTCACATATAAGAACATGACCACCCACTCCACACTTATCTTCTAACAACAAGTTCATTACTACGTCACAAGAGTCAACTTTGTGTTCATACTTTACCATTGGAGTCATTATGGCATTTTTCCAAACAAGTAATAAGCACTAGTGTCAATACTTTCTTCAACTTTAATTTGAGCATCCAACACCCATAATTTTACTCCAAACACGTAATTCAATACAACTATAACACCACCCATTGTAACAATAGCACAAAGTGCTCTAAAATTCACACAATATTCACCAATTTTTGGCCATATAGGCACCCCCACAAAACTTTATCACAAAATACTCCAATGCCACCACCACATACCACAAAATCATCTACAATCATTACAACAATGAAAAACCCACCAGTTTTAAGCACATTTTTTGGCCAAAATTAAAAGAAATAAAATAAAAGATTAGAAAAATCATCTACCTAGGGTTAAGGAAATAAAACTAAAACTATCTAATTCTACAATTAAATAGTAAGGAAAAAAAGAGAATAAAAGAAGAACTTACCTTGATCAGTGATGAAGGTGGGAGGATTTGAGTAAAAGAACTTCCAAGAAGAAGAAGAACAAGGGATTTGGGGGTGAGTTAGAGAGGAGAATGTGAGAAGAAAGAATAATGGGAAAGGAGGGGGAGGGGGAACGGGTGCTAGAAAGAAAAGAGGTGTCTGTTGTTTTTCCAGTTTTTTCAAACTAATGGCCGAAAACTATTACACTGCCACATTGCAAGGTGAGGTGCCCCACGCGGTGCAGTAGTGGCCTTTTACAGAGTCCATGCATTTTTTGTCAGAGTGTCACTAGGCCTGGCGTGATGCAGGTCACGATTCCCCAATGACGGGCTAGGCCATTTTTCATAATTTGCCCTATTTTTGATTTTTAGCTCACGGGTTGCACCCCCACTCTATTATATACTTATTTTTTGTCCAACACATGCTAATACCTATCCAAACAAGTATCAAACTCCTAAACTTTAATAATCTTAATCTATAATTATCGAAACTGTTCTATAAAAGCAAGAAAAATGATTAAAAGAAGTTCTGAGTTATAATCGCCAGCTTGACTCTGTCACTTAGGCTCAGTTGATCACGATGCTAGAGGATTGCTTGTCAAATCCTCCAAAAAGGTACGGTTTCAATCTTTTTCCATTCACTTTAAAGCTCTTATTCCCTTCCTCATCTTGGATCTCAATGTTGCCATACTATGAGATATGTTTCACCACATACGAACCTATCCATCTTAACTTGAACTTTCCGGGAACAACCTAAGTCTAATATTGTATAGTAAAAGTTTGTACCCTTCATGAAACTCCTTTGGCTTAATCAGACGATCATACCACCTCTTTGTCTTCTCCTTAAAGATTTGCGCATTTTCATATGTGTCCATTCTAAACTCCTCCAATTTATTCATCTGTAACAATATGTGTTCACCTGCAAGACTAAGATCAAGATTAAGCATCTTAATTGACCAATAAGCTTCATGTTCTATCTCAACAGGTAGGTGACATGACTTTCCATATACTAATTTAAATGGTGAAGTCCCTATGGTTGTTTTGAACACAGTTCTATATGACTATAGAGCTTCATCCAACTTTATAGACCAATCCTTACAAGAAGCACTAACCTTCTTTTCAAGAATTCGTTTTAAGCTCATGGTTAGCCACTTCAACTTGCCCACTAGTTTGAACATGGTACGAGGTTCCTGTTTTGTGTGTGACCCCATACTTAGACAGTAATGCAGCAAACTACTTGTTTACAAAGTGTGACCCATTGTCATTTATAATCACTCGAGGTGTCCCAAAGGGGGTAAAGATGTTCTTCCAAAGGAACTCACACACCACCCGAGCATCGTTGGTCCTAGTAAGGATTGATTAAACCCATTTAGAGACGTAGTCAACGGCTACTAGGATATACTCATAAGAATGAGATGATAGGAACGGGCCCATGAAGTCAATGCCCCAAACGTAAAAAATTTCACATACCAGAATGGAGTTGAAAGGCATTTCATCCCTCTTGCTAATATTACCTACCCTTTGACACTTGTTACCTGCAGCTACATATGCCTATGCATTTTTGTACAAAGTAAGCTAATAGAAACCAACTTCCATGACCTTTGCTGTAGTGAGATTTCCACCATAGTGTCCTCCGACTACTCCATCATGCCAATTAGAAAGAATTCTTGCCACCTGTCCCTCAGGCACGCATCTTCGAATCACACCATCTGCACATAGTCTAAATAAGAAAGGATCATTCCAAAAATAACTTTTTACCTCACCTTGAAGATTCCTTCTTTGATCACGAGAGTGGTCACGAGGCAACCATCCACTAGCCAAAAAGTTGGCTACATCAGCATACCAAGGCGTCTTTTGGAGACCTCGACAATAGAGAAAATCTGCTAATTATGGAATTTTCCCCTTATTTCAGTTGTTTTAACCGGAGGTTTCTCAAGTCGAGATAGATAATTTGCGACTTGATTTTCTGTGCCCTTCCTATCTTTGATCTCTAAGTCAAACGCTTGGAGCAACATCACCCACCGCAAGAGACGCGACTTGGACTCCTTCTTACTCAACAGGTATTTCAAGGTTGAGCAATCGGTGTGTATAATTACTTTACTCCCCACCAGATATGATCTAAACTTGTCAAAAGCAAAGACCACAACAAAGAACCCTTTCTCAGTAATGGCATAGGTGACTTGAACATCATTCAACTTCCTTCTTGCATAGTAGATGGGCCTAAACATCTTATCTTTTCTTTGCCCCATAACTTCCCCCACAAAAACATCACTAGCATCATACATTATTTCAAATGGTTGGCCCCAATCAGGTGTCACCATAATAAGAGCACTCACAAGTTTTTCTTTTATCAATTCGAATGTTATAAGCACTCTACAGTGAAAACAAACTTGACATCCTTTGCTATCAATGATAGTTAAAATGACTTGGTAATGCTGGAAAAGTTTTTAATGAATATTCTATAGAACCCAGCATGTCCCAAGAAACTCCTTATGCTCTTCACGGAAGTCGGTAGACTGAGCCTAGCAATTACATCAACCTTAGATCTATCAACTTCAATGCCACGTGCAGTCACTTTGTGGCCCAGGACAATTCCCTCTGTCACCATGAAGTGGCACTTCTCCTAGTTAAGAACCAGGTGAGTAGCTTCGCAACGTTCAAGCACAAGTTCCAAAATTTTCAAGTAGTCATCAAAATCATCACCAAAAGAGTGAAATCATCCATGAGTACCTCTAGACACTTCCCGTTGAGATCGGAGAATATAGACATCTACACCTTTAAAAAGTGGCTGGTGCATTACATAACCTAAATGGCATCCTCCTATAAGCAAAATTCCTGATGGGCAAGTGAATGTAGTCTTCTCAACATCTTCTAGGGCAATGGGTATCTGATTGTAGCCTGAGTATCCATCCAAGAAACAGTAACATCCATGTGCATCCACTTTCTCTAGCATTTGATCAATAAAAGGAAGTGGGAAGCGGTCTTTCCTTGTTGCATCATTCAGCCTTTTATAATCAATGCATATTCTCCACCTAGTGACTGTTCTTGTGGGGATCAATTCATTGTCTTCATTATTCACCACTGTCATGCCCCCTTCTTAGGTACGACTTGCACTGGATTAATCCACTGGCTATTAGAGATGGGAAAAATCACTCCCGTATCTAGCAATTTGATGATCTTCTTGTGCACTACCTCCTTCAGATTTTTATTTAGCTTCTGTTGGGGCTACACTACTGGCTTGCTATTTTCTTCCAGCAGAATTTTATGCATGCAAATGACTGGACTGATTCCTAAAATATCAACTATACTCCATCCAATTGCCTTTCTGTACTTTTTAGCAGTTCCATTAGCTTTTGCTCATGTGTACCTATCAAGTAAGCAAAAATAATCATAGGAAAATTGTTAGTTTCAAGAAAAGCATATTTAAAGTGGGTATGGAGGACTTTCAATTCCACACTAGGCTTAGAAGCCTCTTCTTTTAGTTCCTCCTCATCAACCACTTGATCCACGGTTTCAAGAGCTTTAACCTCTTTCTTCATTTCAGGATCTTCATCCTCCACAGTTCTAGACTAGGTAATACACATCTCTAAAGTATCCCTACAAACTTGTATATTTTAACCAATTCCCTAACAACATCTAGCTTGAAGCACGAGTAGGCAGATGCCTCATCATTGGGGTATTTCATCATCCTCTTCATCTGGAACACCACTTTCTCTTTGCCCAGTCTGAGCATAAGCTGCCCCTCATAGATATCAAGGATAGCTCTACATGCACATAAAAATAGCCTTCCTGAAATTAGAGGCACCTCCTTGTTTACCTCTATATCTACTATAATAAAGTCTATGGGGATCACAAAATTGTCCACCTGTACTAGAATATCCTCAATGATTCCCTCAGGAAAAATGGTCGTCTGGTCAGCTAGTTGTACGGACACTAGTATTGATTTGATCACTCCAAGCTTACTTTCCAGTTTCCTGAATACAGACAAATGCATTAGATTTATAGAAGCACCAGAATCATAGAGGGCCTTATCGAATTTCTCACTCCCCAATGAGCATGGTATGGTGAACCTTCCTGGGTCCCCACAATTTTGAGAAATTTTATTTTGCAATATGGCACTGCAGTGGGCATTCCGCTGGACCATTGTTGTCTCATCTAATTTCTTCTTGCTGGACAAGATTTCTTTCAAGAACTTAGCATAAGTAGGCATCTGAGTGAGTACCTCTGTGAATGGAATGTTCACGCAAAGGTGTTTCAGCATCTCCAAGAATCGCCCAAAACACTTGTCAAGTTTTTCCCACTTCATCTTTTGAGGGAATGGTAGAGCTGGCATATGTCTACTTTCTTCAATCTCCTTTTGTACCCCACTACTCTAGCCTTTCTAATTTTCACTCTTTTTCTCTTGCAGTGTCTCAGTCTTCTTGTTCACCACCTCGGACCTAGCTTTCACTACTGGGTCAGTCAATGTTTTGCTACTTCTTAGAGATACAACTTTAATTGTTCCCTTTGGATTCTTTTCAGTGTCAGAGGGTAGAGTCTCAAGAGCCCACTCAGATAACAAATTTGCAATATGTCCCATTTGTCTTTCTAAATTTTGGATGGTTGTGCCCTGAGTTTCAAATTTTTCATCTGATTTGCTGATGAATGCCTTCATGAGATCTTCCATACTATACTGATTTGATTATTGTGGCTAGTACTGCTGCCTCTGCTGGTTTTGAAAACCTGGTGGTCCTTGACCCTGGGGTATATGATTATTTTGCTACCATGAGTTCAAACTCCACTAGGTGAACTCTATAGAAAACCTGGATGTCTTTGCCCCATAGCATTATAGTTGTTCCCATCTTGGTAGTTTCCTCTATCATAGTTCCCCACAGCTTGACTTCCTCAGCTGAAGCTTGACACTCATGTGTAGGGTGACCCATTCCACAAAAGTCACATACTACTTGTGGCTCACTCTGTATCGTGGCCAATGTCAGCTTTCTTATCTCCTTTGCCATGGTGTCTAGCTGGGCTTGCATAGATGTGTTAGAATCCACCTGGTGAACCCCAACTGACTTTTTTTTTGTCACTACTCTCAGCAGGCCACTACTTAGCATCCTCGGATAATTTATCAAGGATTAAGACAAACCTCCTCCGGAGTTTTCTTCATTAGTGGACCTCCATATGTAATATTCAGAGTTCATCGAGAGGAAGGTGTCAGTCCATCCAAAAAATCTTAGAGTTGGATCCGCAAATCAATTCCGTTTTGATGACACTTTCTAACTATCTCCTTGAATCTTTCCCTACCTTCAAAAATCGTTTCTGTCTCCTTCTGGAAGAAATTATGGATTTCCCTTCTGAATTTCCCTGTTTTTGCAACTGAGAATTACTGGTCAAGAAACTTTTTGTTCATATCTTCCCATGTCATGATCGACCCTGTGGGTAAGCTACGAAGCCAGTGCTTCACGTCATCTTTCAATGAAAAGAGGAATGCCCTTAAGTAGACTGCATTTTTTGATAATCCATTGTACTAGAAGTTGTTCATGATTTCTTCAAAGTCCATCAAGTGAGTGTTAGGAACGTCATTCACCTTTCCTCTAAGGATACAATTGTTTTGGATGGTTTGAAGCAAGCCTTGCTTCAACTAGAAGTTGTTTGCTGCTATGGGTGGAGGTATGACACTTGATAGTCCTTGATTGTAGACTAGTATGGCATAGTTACCCAATGATCTTCCAGGCCTGGGTGCTGCATTCTCGAACTGATCTTCAACTATGGGTCGGTTCAGATTGAATCTTCGACCTCCACCGTCTTTGATAGTGTCCTACATAGCTCTAAGGGCTGCCTCAACTGCTATCCACGCAGCTTCTTGTTGTGCTGCCTCTCTTGCAGCTAAGTCAATTCCATCAATCTCCTTGTTTGCCATGTTATCTTGAGTCGAAGTATGGCCCAAGAAATTTTCTATTAATTCTCTTTCTTTTCTTAGTTGTCGCAGGTGTTTCTCCAACTTTAGCTTGTAGGTATCACTTCCTTTGAAGAAGATCGAGTCATACACCAGAGAAATCAAACTTGTATACATAAGTGAGAAATCGTGAATACAATAAAGTAAAATTGGTTCCTGAATTAGTACTAAAAACTATTTTAAACACTATTGATTGCCAATCCCTGGTAACAATGCCGAAATTTGACAAGTGCAAAACACAACACAAAATTATTGTTCACTAGTCAAATATAGTAAAGTTTAATTACCGTCTCCACAGGGATTCTATTTAAATAGTGTTTGAATAGTCTTCAGTTGATTGCTATCCAGGAAAATAAACACTTGATTTGATGATTATTACTATGATTAACTACTAAAAATTAAGCAATTAACAATTGATCACAAAGGACAACATATGAGCAATGAAGAAATATCAATGAGAGAAATATGGGTAATTGACTAGATATGTGCAACATAATTGACTCGGGATCCAATTCTTGAGTTAGTTCACGCTATAATACTATTGATTCTCACGAATTTAACAGATAATTATATTACACTTGAAGTTAATTTTCCTCTTTCGATTAGACGTTAATTTCAGTAATTAATCCAATTGAAACATGTAAAACAATTGCAACAAAGAAAATGATGGTTATGGTCTAAAGGGTAACTTCTCACAGATATTTCCCTATTTTTTTAGTTCAATTAACAATTCAAGAGGCTCTTTCGATTACCTATTTGAATCACGAATTTAACTAGAGCATAAGATGTAAAGAAATTCAATATCAAGCTCCTCTTTTGATTAAGAAAAATAAGAAATAACTCCACAATATGAATTAAAACTCCATCAATTAATTCCAACAGTTATCAAGAATCGAATCACAAACCAAGTTATCAAAACACCGTATCTGTCAACACCCAAATATAAATTACTCCATAGCTATGGAAAAAGTCATCTCAATAAGGTTTAAAAACAAAGAAAACATCAATACTAATGATTCGATACAAATTCCCGCATTGCACCGATCGTGGGTTGAAATCTTGATGGATTCTTGTGTCTTCTTGCCTTAGTTGCTTCGCAAATACTTCGTAGGTTCAAAGTCCCTTCAAAAATATATTTTTGTGTATTTATACCCTGTAGGAACGGGCCCAGACGAAACTATCATTTCCTAGCCAAAATAGGAAATAACTCTCACAAAATTGTGCACCCGCGTCGCGCCCCCTGCGGCGCGACAATGATGTTTTCTCACAGTAAATCGTTTGTCCACTTTTTGAAATTCGGACTTGGTTCTCAACCACCGAACGTGATCCTGACTTAATTTCTTGGGTTTGTACTCACTTCAAATCTCCAACTTGTTCGATTTAGCTCCAAATTACCTTAATAGCTCGGAATCATTTCCTGTAAGGCATAAAACACGTAATAAGTGTAATTCACTATCTTTTAAACTCAAATACACATAAAATGCAATAATTAGAGTGCAATGCTACGGCTAAAATATGGGTTCCTAGTCTTCCATCAATACCTCATACTTAGACTATTGCTTGTCCTCGAGTAATCAAACTACACTTTATCGCGCCTCCTTTTTCCATTGCAGAGTACAGGTTTTGACCATTGAGAACAACTCATTTTCTTTTGGAAATTGGGTATTTGAATTTGAAGAGTCGCCACTTAACGGATTAAGGTGCATTAGAGCACCTAGAGCAATTAACTCATATAACTTGTTTGCATTACCAGATATTAGGGTAAGGGCTCGAAATAACCTTGAGGGGAAGGTGTTAGGCACCCCTCGCGGTCCACAATGGTGGGTCCTAGCCGAACTCAGTTATGTGAATTAGTCATTTAACAGATAAGTAGTCTAAGCACACATTTGCAAATAAAGGAAGTTTAGGTCTGAGCACACATATATAAATAAAGGAAGGGAAGTCCTAGGTTTGTTAGCCTATAGGATCACATCTTTACAATACCCGGTAAACCGTCATCAAATTGAGGGGTTACATGTGGCATTAACGAACAAGTCATCATATCATCTACTACTCGATTACCCTCCCCTTGGTCATAGCCTAAAGCGTTCTAGCAATCTCTAGATGTATCTTATGCGTGCACTACCCGTCTCTTTGCTTATATAGTACAGAGGTATTTGGGACTTCTAGTTAAGGTGGATCTAGACTCTCCTACAGTAATTAAAAGGAGAAACTCTAGGCGACATACAAAACATATAAGACTGGACCAAAGATAGAACAATTAAAAGGCTCATATTTTACCTTCACAAATAGAGCAAGTAAGTGCACGTCTCAGACGACAGTATTTTAGACATTTGAAAAGAGTCCTAATGACAGGATATCTAGGTGAACACAAGTCAGAACATATGCAATGCTGAGTTAAGGCAAAAGTGTTGAAGACCTATTCAGTTTGCTTACTAAATTTAGAACCTATTAAATCTGGGCAGTCATAATAAGTAAAGCAGTTTCATAGTTTATTAAACCTCGATTACCTATAGGCTTGCCTAGGCGTGGATTAGCAGTAACATGTCATTTAGACATTAATGAAAGACCATAATTCTGAGTCAGTAATTGATAGACAAATTTTGTTTTTTTATTGAACCTATATGTTGTCTAGGTGCTGAAAAATGATCACAAGCATTACAGAATTGATTTCACACTTTCATTTCTAAGAGTATGATGTCTAAGTGTTGAGATTGTTTTTAAGCGTATTCCTTATAGGCTAGGTGATAACTGATTTTTTACGCATTCAAACTATAGGCATGGTTTTAAGAAAATGCAGTGAAAAATCCTAGAAACATGGTCTCTAATGCACATAGAGCAGTTGTTGAACGTGATTATTAGGACATAATTGATAAATGACCTGAGAACCAGATTTTTATTGCAAGTAAATGAATGCAGAATGGCAGTGTAGAACAGATAGTGTAGTGATCCTATAAACAAGTTTTCTAATGCATATAACAATCCGGTAGGCATGGCTTCTAAATCATACAAATAATCATAACAGTCTTATGAGCATGGTTTCTAATGCATCATAACAGTCCTATAAGCATGGTTTCTACTGCATGTAGACAATCATAACAGTCCTATGAGCATGGTTTCTACCCGATTCTCACAAAAGATATATAAAAGTCCCTCCCTTTTACTAATTTCCCCAATATCTATTCACAAGAAATTATTATTACAGACCAATAGTGAATGAATTACATAAATGAATATAAACTATCTATAGGGAGCCTGAATTAGGCCTAATAATAAATCTGGGGATATCAAGCCTTAAGAACAGTCTCAAATGTCAAGAGTCTCATAGCCAATGGTATGTCCTGGTGTGTCAAAGTTTCTTAAGGACCTCAGGGATCTCGGGCAGTGCTCACACC